GTTATAATACTTAACCTATGTCAGAATTAATATTAGAAAACCCCATGTCATTTACCGCATGGGAATTTAGGATGTAGTAGCACATGCCTGTAGTCCTAGCACGCTGGAGGCTGAGGCACAGCAGGATCATGAATTCAAAGATAGCCTCCTATCTCCAAAAAATAAAAACAAACAAAACTAAAGTTAGAAAGAAAAAAAAAAAAGTGTCACAGGCATCAAATAATCAACTTAAAAAGAGGTTTGTGTGGCTCAGAGCTTGGAAATCCCAGTGCATGGTGGGATTAGCCCTGTAGCTTTTTGACTGTGTGCAGAAAGGCCATCATTGTAGGTAGTGTGTAGTGGGGCACAGTGTTCCCTTCATAGCAGTTGGGAAGGAAGAGAGGAAGAGGCTAGAGTCCCACAGGCCCCTTCAAAAGAACACATCCACAGGGATGCTTCCCAAACACAGCATGGGCTGAGAAGGCTTTAACACACAGGCCTTTGGTGGCACTGTAGACACCAGTTTTAGCATTGTGCCTGGACACAGACTGAACTAGTCAACTTTTAAAAATATCATTATTAAATGAAATAATATAATAATATAAAGGCATTCTAGGGGTTTGTTTGTTAACATATCTAAAATGCCAAACCCTCAAACAAGTGTTAACTGAAGACAAGGAATGTAGCTCAGTGGTAGAGGGCATGCTTAGTGTATACACAACCCTGACATACACACACTCAGACACATACTAAACCACACCCTTGTAAATCAAAGATATAAAACCCAGACCACTTAGCAATGCTGAGAAATAGAAGAATTCAGCAAAGTGGCTGGTTATAAACTCAATATACTAAATCTAGTTACAGTTCTGTGAAACTAGCATCAAAAAGTTAGCAAATATAGTATTTGTTCTTAGATTAACTTAGTTTTAGAAATATAAAATTTGAAAGATACTTTTATAATAGTGACAAAACTATAAAGTAGCCAGGGACATAGCAAACAAGATAGAAAATTATAAAGTCCAAGGAAAGAAACAGAGACACAAGCTAAGACTCACATGGTGTTTGTAGCTAGGAAGGTTCATCATAAAAGTATTACTTATCTCCAAACACTCTGCATGTTCAATGCAATTATAAGCACAACCTAAATAGTTTTTCATGACATTTATTGCATGCCATATCCATGACATAAACTGAAATTTGTTATGAAAAAATCATTGGCTATAAATAGCCAATACTTTTCTAAGGTATATATTTGCAGCACATGAACTGCTTATGAATGAATATTAGTCTTTGTATACAAAGAATATTTTTAAGTAAACAAAGGACAATCCAAAAATAAATTTGGCACAGACATGCTAATATCAGAGAGGAATAAAATGGACTCTTAATAACTGGAAAACAAATGTGAGTGCTAAATAAACATACCACAGAGCCAGCCACAATCCCAGCTATCAAGAAGCTGAGGCAGGAGGATCATAAGATGGAGGCCAGCAAGCCCCTACGACTCAAAATGATATGGCAACAAGCTCAACTCTGTTCCTCAAGGGAAAAATGAGATACATAACAATCTTATCATGTGAAATAGCCAAAATATTTAAACTCATTTATTGTAAAAGATATTGTGCATCAGTAACAGTTCATTCAGTAACAAAGGGACTATTGATTGGCACAGAATTTTGAGGAAGCGTTCGTCATTGTTTTGTAAGTAGAACATGTTTCTAACATAATGTAGTTCTCCTAATAGATAGAGAGCTGCATGCATGACCTGTGAGCTATGAGCTCTAGGCATGTGTTTCATTTCTTAAAATGAAAACTGCAAATATACAATGTTTACTGACAGGAGGTATTCAAAATTTTTTAATGAATTATAGTTTAATAGACTGTGTAATATGACAGAGTATAAAATACACATATAGGTATATTTTGAGTAAAATCGAATGAACAGTGAAAGGCAAGAGGAAATCTCAGAAGAACATGCATCACAATAGCACTTTCATAAAAGTCTGAAGTCAGCCAGCCCCAAATCACCGCATATACAGCAGTGTTTCCCTATTCCTGGCAGAATATATCCTGTTCTCATTGCTCAGATAGCATAATGTATATCCTATATTCACACAGGGAATCAGTAATATTAAACTTGAAATGGATTTAAGTATGGAAGGAATTTTTGTTTCCTTTATACACTGCTGTAGGAATGTCAGGATCATGGAGGTATTCTGAAAAACTCTGCTGTCCAGCCAGGGGCCTTCATCTCCCATTGGCCATGTGTTATTAACTATGTTAATTATTTAGATTCTAGGAAGTGGTATTTTAAACAGCATCACTAACCAGTTGGTGCCGCTCAGTTTTGAAAGCTACACTATATATTGCAGCAATTCAATGTAACAAAGCAGTAAATGGCTCATTAGCTGCTTACAGACTCTTTTCATAGAGCATCCTGTTACTTAGCAACATTTAAAGAGAGATCCATGAAAGACAAAAAGAGATGGAGGTGAAGGGGGTATAGGGGGAGGGGAGGTTACATGGTGGGATCAGGGTTAGCCAGGGTTATAGAGGGGATAAAAAAATTTACTAAAATACACCTACTTCAAAAATCTACCAAAACACACTTACTAATGTCAATAACTGATATGCTAAGTGAAAAAAATAAAAGATAATTTAAACATCTGCCAGCAAGAAATAACTTTAGTCAGTCATGCTCTTAGGAAATAAGATACATTTTATCCAGTGCATGTGTGTGTATGGTCCTAGTTAGCGTCTCTTGCTATGATAAAACACTGACAAAAACCAACTTGGGGAAGAAAAGGTTTGTCTTCCAATTCCATGTCACAGTCTTTCACTGAGGGAAGTTTGGGCAGAAACCTGGAGCCCGGAACTGAAACAGAATCCATGGAAGCATGCTTGCTTCTCATGGCTTGCTCAACAATTTATTGCTGTTGTTTGTTTTTCTATTTTTTTTTTTAATAGCACCCAGGCCACTTGTTCAAAGGTGGCACTGCCCATAGTGAGCTGGGCCCTCCCACATCAAGCATTATTCAAAACAGTTCCCCACAGACATACCCACAGGACAACCTGATAGAGGAATTTTCTCAATTAAGACTCTCTATTCCCAGGTGACTCTAGTTTGCATCAGTTTGACAAAAACCTAACCAGCACAGGGGCTGGGAAAGAATAGCAATATAGTGTTTAAGGATGTGCACTTACAGCTCTTTCTTGTGGCACCTCCTAGGTGGTTGACTGTGACAAGCTAACTCTTTCCCAGCCATGGCTGTGTGAACTCACTAAAGTGGATAATGAGTGCAAGCTTCATACTTACTATAGAAATGTGAGCCCACACAAGTAGCTGCTGGGCTCTGGGTGAGGAGAGGTCTGAGTCAGTGATGGGAATGACAAACAGGCTTTCCCACGAAGCAAGGTATCCTGACCCACGGCAGTGCACTTGCTATTGAGTAAGGGTATTTTTGTTATAGATTGTATAACAATCTATATTATCAAATAAGTCAGAATAATTAAATAAGTATTAAATAAGTCAGAAAGCAACAATGACTTAGAAATTTGTGGCAGGGACTCTCAAGGATGGCCCCCAAGATTGCATCCCAGGATTCCCATTAAAGGATAAGACACAGTGACACACTTCTAATAATGTTGCCAAAGGGAAGGGGAAGTCACTTCCAAGATTAGGGTACAAAAATACTGTGGTTTCTATCCTGGGCTCACTTGCTGTCAGCTGGCAAGGAACTGAAAGGTCTTTCCCCAGAATCTAGAGAGGAGCTGAGGCCTCCAGGAACTCAACCCTCCCGGCCACTCTCCAAGTGAGCTGGGGTCGCCTTCTGATCCACTAGAGCTTCAGGTAAGATGGTTCCAGGTAACAAACAGTCCGAGGGCGCCGGTAGAGAAGTACCGACAGAGATCTACATTTTACTCCCATTCCTGATTTGCAGAAACAGTTTTAGAGTTTCAGAGTTTTGCAGGATGATTTAGTAATGCAAGGAAAGATAAATAAGAGCTGGTTAGTAAGAGCAATGGGAATAAAATATTAATGGCAATAAGAACCCAGAAGGACAAGCCCAAATGAGCATCAGTGAGGGCAAAAGGAGCACTCATGGGGATGACTTACGAGTTTGGTTACCTGGTAGAAATGGTAAATAACAAAGGCCAGGACCTTTGTACCAGAGAAATCCCATCCAGGGAAATTCTCATCTATATATAAACCCCACCGCTTTGACCTCATTTGATATCACCCAAGTGGTTCTAGGAACCTGGAGCATTGGTCTTTAGAGTACTGTGCTAAATATACAGTATGAGCAGACAAAAGTCTCATTTGCAGGTAGCATAGAAGGCTTGGTGTGTGCCCTCACTCCCCACACAGATAACATGACAACACAAGCAAAGACAACTAGGCAGAGAAGACAGACATCATCTTAACCGGAAACAGGGGAAATGTACCTGGGAATACAGACCCTTGCCTTGCAGTGTCTGGCTTTTCTGTGGGTTCTGAAAATCTGAAGTCAGTCATCAGGCTAGCATGGCAGGTGCTTACACACTGAGCCACCAACCTAGCCCTGTCTTAACTTCAGATAATTAGGAAATCTATATACAAATCTTTTTGATGTTTTCTTTTGCTTTCTGTGAGACACCATTTCTTTTGTATCCCTGACTGTCCTAGAACTTGCTCTGCAGACCAGGCTCTGTGAGTCTGAACTCACTGAGATCCACCTGCCTCTGCCTTCTGAGTGCTGGGATTAAAGCACTTTGGAAATTTAGCTGTTATACTTTATTTACTAGGGTATCTTCTTAATCTAGTTCTTCTAAGAATTGCTACCATGCCAATAACACACTGAACTGAAGAAAACAATTGTGGTGTCTGTCATGCTAAAAAAGCTTTATTTACATGGGTCTTCAAAGTAGACGTCCACTTCAATTACAGAGATCTTAAACATTTCAGTGTCCTTCTACTGCTTCAAGCATGAAATGTTACCAGACAGATTATAATTTTACAGAAAAGCATAAAACAAAAGCACATTCTATAATTTAATATATACAGTGCCATTAGTGGTTAACTTTACAGTTTATTTACTTATTTATTTTGAGGATAATTTACTGAAGGTTTTATTGATAAAATTCAGGCAAGGTTGTTTGCTAACATAGATTTCCACAGAGGTTCAAGAGCATTGCAGACGAACAGACTTAGTGTTTTGGTTTGTGAGTAGCTGTGCATCATTTTATTTCTCCCCTTTTATCAAAAGTCTTGGATGATGAAGAGTCACCACAATTATAGCGCTCATATAGAGTCTGAAATAAATCACAAGTTTTGTTTTTCAATATTTGAGCTCAACATATTAGTAGATCAGTACAGATGATTTTTCTGGATATAAAGAAACACATCGCAATCCTTCCATAAGAGAATTATAATATAGCACAATCAGCATATACATAGGCCTATGAGAACACTGAAAGCCCCTTACGTTTCCTTAAAGTAACTTACTCATAGATTCCAACGTAACAAATATTCATATATAATTTCAGAATCTATTTACACTAATGAATGAAGACATTAAAAGTACTATGTAAATATGTCTAATTAGGTTCCCTGGTCCTTTGGCGTACCTTTGAAGGACAGGTTAACAGGTTTCCTACCTGACAGATGTCCTAGACCCTACCTGATTGTGAATACTATTTGCATATATGTGTATATATCTTGCTGAGTATTTTAATTCATACTTATAACTAATACAATGTAAACATGATATAATTATGTTACTTCATTTTTACAGAATAGCAAGACAGTGGGTATATGTCCAGTACACATGAATTATTTTTCAGAATGTTTTTGATTTGCAGTTGACTCTCGATAGGGAACCCCTGGATATAGGGGGCAACTGATTATTAACAGCTTAAAAAGAAAAAAGGCTGAAGGCTAAGTCAATATCTAACTTATAGGTGACAGATATATTTGCCTTCAAGTAATATAAAATCTCAGTGATGGGGTGATTAATTCACCTTAATTTCAATTAACAGAACATTTTGAATAGTATACTATTATGATCTTAAGATATGGAGACATGAAATAAAAAACAATGAATATAAAAGCATTTTGTTCAACTTAAACACCCCAAGACTAATGAGTCAGTCATCAGCATATGAAGGAAAAAAAAGCCTAAGGTCCTACAAATATACGTAGTATAGAGAATATATAATAAATTCATCCCCAAATGAGCCCATATCAGTAATATAGGTTGACTTGATCCCAATCCAGAAAATAAATATTATTAGTTCAAATTTCCATAATTTTATGTTATTATGATTCAAATATCTAATTTGTAACTGCCTGGCAGCTAATCTAGCTGATAAGCAATCACAGATATTGAAATTACAAAAGTATTTGAAAACAATGAGATCCAAGCATCACTGTGGATCTGAGTGTGGTGTCTCACATTTTTATTCCCAGTACTCTAGAGACAGAGGCAGGTGGATCTGTGAGTTTAAGGCTAGCCTTGTCTAAGATCCAGACAATGGAGGCTGCATAGTAAAACAGTGTCTTGAAACAAAACAAAATCAAACCTCATCACTACCGTGAACAAAGTCCCAGGAAGCTGCCAAGCATGAGATATGCTTTGGAGAATGTGCCAATTGCTACAGAAACTATTGCACATGACAATTACTGTCATTTTCCTAAGACTGCACTAAAAATTGATTTCTAGAGCTGTGCTAAGAATGTCGTTGAGACAGTCTAAAAGATAAATTCCTACTTATTCCAGCTGGAACCCTAAGAACAATAACAACACAAATGAGAAACACTCAGTAAGTACCAACTTAAGAGAAATAAATTTCATCATAGATGTGAACAGTTAACTTCCCCTTTGGCTATATGTGTCTTTAAGTGTCTAACTCACTGCACTACATTAAAACATGGAATTAATGTAGGTGGATGTACTTACTTTGGCAGTTTTCAAAATGGAGTTAGGAGAATTCAGACCAACCAGTTGACCCAGAACATACTTCATCTCATCAGTGGCTTCTCTAGTCATCTGGCTGCCTGTAAAAGGAATGTAATCAACAAGATGCAGGTACTAATAAGAACAGTATAAATTCATTTGAAAATGCACATTCTGACCAGGTATACCCCTGTAATCCTAGCCCTCAGGAGGCTGGAATAGGAGTACTGCTCTAAATATGAGGAAACACCCTACCCCCCCAACCAAAGCAAACAAAAGAACTTCATTCTGGAGACAGGGGAAAGGGATCATAAATTCAAGGCCAGCCTAAGCTGTAATAGTAAGATTCTGTCCCCAAAACAACAACAACAACAAAAAATACACCCTACTTAATGAATTGTACACTAATTTTCACAATCCCAAATGTAGGATAGGAAAGATTAAATAACATAGTTTTTTTTTTAATCAACATTATTAACTTTATTATTTAGCAAACTACCAACTTCCTTGAAGAAGACAGGGTATAAAGAGAGTGGCCAATTTAGATTCTGGTTTTCTACAGTTAACACACTATTCATGTTGATAATCTGGTAAAGTAACCTTTAAGGAAGGAGTACCTGGGTGGGGTTGAATTTGAACATACGGATGTGTGAGCAGTTCAGGAATGGATAATCTCTCTTTAGGGTTCCTCACTAAACATCGCTTTGGGGAAAAAAAAAAAAAAAAAAAGATCAAGTTTTCATGCATGTTGCTGACAAAGTAACTTTCCAAATGACAACATACTACAGAAGCTGCACCAGACATCCTACTCAGACAATGGTAAGAAGTTTTCTGAGTCACCTTTTAGAAATCTCCAAGTGTTCATTAAATTAAAAAACACCTTTCACAGTAAGCATGCTTTAAAACCAACTCCCGCCAGGAACTACTCTGACCAGGCTACATTCAACATAGATGTATAATTCCAATCACCTCAACTATTTCTTTTAAACAACCATGAAATTGTGAGACATTGTCTTTCTATATCCACACACTGTTAATGTTACCTTTAGTACATCTTGAAGATCTTTTTCTGGAATATCAGGAAATTCAATTTCATGACTAGGGTCAATTATGGCATGAAGTTTAGAGATCTGGTTAATGATATGCTGAAATGGTGTTTTCCCATAAGTCATATAGTACAAAATGCACCCCAAGGACCAGACATCACTTCTGGGGCTTATCTAAGTAGAAGAAAAGTTGCTTTATTTTAATATAAAATGTAACACAAGAACATCATGTATCTATAATCCTAATGATACTTAAAACCTCAACGAATATCAAAGTATAAGATCATGCTTATATGACAAAACATCCTTTCCTAGTTTTCACTACATTTAATCATTTTATAGAGAAAAAATAACTTTAAACCTTTAAAAAAAATCTCAAAACTATTTTTAAAGGAAATAAAGAAATTCTTGGCATCTTGTGAAAATATAACACTAAAAAATAACATACCCATAAATTTGAATTCACTTATTTGTCCCAGATTTGTATCTGAACTCACTAAACACACACACACTTAAATTGTACAACCCTAATCTCTAGAGTATAAACCACAGATGCAGGCTGGACAGAGTCAGGGGCAAACCAACAGCAAAAATAAAATAAGGTAAAGTCTCTTTTTCTTTGTAGGTTTATTTCTTTTTATTTTATGAGTACATGTGTGGACATGAGCTCTGGAAACTGAGTCCAGGTCCTTAGTAAGAGCAGAAAGTACTCTTAACTGCTGAGCCACCTCTTCAGCCCACGGGAGTTTCTGAATAAGTACTAGCAAGTATCAGGTATTCTCCCTAAGCCCAATACTATTAATGTTCATGGTGTTAAGTCACATTAGGAATAATAATCACAGCAACAGGAAAATGGAGAATAGCAAACAGAAACATATAATTTCCACAAAGAATAAATCTAAATCAAAGAATAGAGAAAGCTGGTGAAGGATGGGGGAAGGAAAAAAACAGGGACATTCAAACCTTTTTTTTTGTTTGTTTGTTTTTTGTTTTTTTAAAGAAGGAATGAAAGTAAAGATAAACTATAATTAATATTAGGAAATAAGAGCAAAACATCACATACAGAAGAGAAGAGAAAGCTAATTTAACCACGGTAAACAATATTACCAACTAAGAAAAAGGACAAACTTAAAAAAAAAATTATGTGTGTGTCTGTGTGCATGCCATGTGTATGGCTGTCCACAGAAGCAGGAAGAGGGCATTGGATCTCCTGGAGCTGGAATTACATGCAGTTACCCAACTAAACTTGGATCCTTTGCAAGAGCAGAATCTGCTCTTGACCACACAGAGCCAACTCTCTGGCCCCAAAGAGGAATTTTTAAAAAGTTACTGTTATCACTGAAAACTGAGCCAGGTGGTGGAAAGATCTGTAACCCTAGCATTTTAGAAGGTTAAGGTAGGATAGCCTGGACAATATAAGGAGACTATGTCTCCAAAAATTATAATCTCTAGGTATAATTTAAAACCTAAAAGTGAAAAAGACAAATCTTGCTGGACGGTGGTGGCGCACACCTTTAGTTCCAGCACTCAGGAAGCAAGAGCAAGCAGATCTCTCTGAGTTCCAGCCTGGCCTGATACAGAGCAAGTTCCAGGACAGCCAAAGCTATACTGGGAAGCCCTGTCTCAAAAACAAAACAAAACAAAACAAAACAAAACAAAACAAAACAAAAAAGACATAAATGAAATTACAAACCTTAGAAATTAGTAGGCACTTAAGATACTATAATAAAACCTGTAAATAACAGCCAAATTAAAACTCAGTAAAACTTTTTATCTTTTTAAAAGCAAAGCCATGCTACATAAGCCACACTGTCATTAAACTCTAGATCCTCTAGCCTTAGCTTCTCAATGGTAGATTTTAGGTTTACAGTATTAAAACAGTAGTTTTACTCCAAGTATAAACACTAAATTTAAACCAGTTGTGATTTAAATTAAAAGATAGGGAGAAATAATCAGGGCACAGAAGGAACTTATTTTAAATGCCTGCTACACACAGTGAGCTGGATGCTGCACTGAAGACTCTTTTCTCAGTTGTTCTTTGCTTTCTTGTCAAATATTCACAAGACCAGATCACAGAGAGGAAGCCAGGTAAGTTATGTCAGTACTGAAGAAGCCATGTTCTTGCAAACACTGCAGCAGTGTAAGAAAGATCAGCTTGGTAGTTTGAGGAACCCTGGGCAGAGAAAATGGGCCTCTCTGCCCTTGATGATAGGGGACCATCAAGGAGGCTAACAACACTCACCAGGGCTGAAATACAGTTCCCACCCGAAGGCCAAGAAATTTTATATGCCCTGTTAAATTTGGAAATGTAGAACTCACAAGTAAAGAAATGATTATTAAAATGCACAAGACTAGTTTCAATTCCCAGTACTACAAAAACAGTAAGTGTAAAAAATTTAGAAAGGAAACAAACAAGAGGACTCCAAAGGATGTCAAGGAGTATCATTTCTGGTGTCTAAATCAGACCTATTTGTTAAAATTGCCTTTAACTTAAAACTTCCCAAAGCTCTCTCCTCAGGTCTACTTTACATGAGCACACTGTGAGGAACCATCACACAAAAGAACAGCATTAAAGGACAATCTCAAGTCAATAAGGAATGGTGAAACTTGTGCTGGAGAGACAGCTCAGTGGTCAAGAGCGCAGGCAGCTCCTCCAGAGAACCTGGGCTCCATTCCTAATAGCCACCCCACGGCTCACAGCCATCTAATTCCAGCCTCCAAGAACTCTTCATACATGTGGTAAACAGATCTGTATGTAGGCAAAACCACCACACACACATAAAATAGTAAAACAAACAAAAACAAATTTAAAAGAACGGTAAAAATGAATCCCAACAATTTACAAAAGGTTCAGTTTGCTGCTGCCAGGTGAACGAGCTATTTCCAGTACCTTGGTCTTGACTTTCCCATTTTCTCTTGATGAAGACATGTCTCTAATTGCTTCTGGGGGCATGTAATTAACTGTGCCAACCTATTTGTCAAATCACAGAAAACAGAGAAATCAAGGAAAACATCTTTCTAGATTTATAAACACATAAATGTCAGATTCTTGGAAACTTGGATAACTAGTGAGTTAAGTGACAGACTTGAAATATTCAAATAACTGCCAAGAAAATAAAAATATATGTAAGATCACATTGCAATTCCAACAAAAACTATTGGGTTGAGAATGAATTGGCTCATTTCCAAATGCTGTGCTTTCTGTAACTATGTTGGAGAACTAGTATTATCTGCCTTTACAATTATCTATGCCCATTCTGAATTCTGAGGGATTTGAGAATCATTCACTTCCATATTAAAATAAATTCAATATTTCCCCCTTCAGTAAAACCAACAAATGTATATATAAATAAAAAGAACCAGCTAGCTTTACCTCCCAATATTCTTTGTTCCCTATGTACACACTGAGATGGGCTGGAAAATTAAACCATATAAGAGTTTCTATAGTCAGAAATGATACAGCATAATCCTTTAGACCAACAGTTCTCATCCTCCCCTTTGGGAGGTCAGATGATCCTTTCCCAGGAGTTACATATCAGATATCCACATTATAATTCATAACAATAGCAAATTTACTCTTATAAAGTAATAATGAAAATAATTCTATGGTTGTGGGTCACCACATCATGAGAAACTCTATTAGGGTCACAGCATTAAGAAAGGTTAAGAACCACACTGCTTTAGTTCTGAGAACAACAACAAAAATGCCTGCATGGTAGAATCATGCCATAGATAACTTCAAGCTTATCCATAAATCAATGTTCACCTGTACTTTTGATTCAAAAAGTAAGGACTGGGCTGGGTGGTGAGGGCTCGCGCCTATTAAAGGATTAACCCAGCACGTCACAGGTGGATCTCTGTGAGTTCAAGGTCAGTCTGGACTACAGCCCTATCTAGGGCTGTCACACAGAGAAATCCTGTCTTGAGAAACAAAAACAAACAAACAAAAAAGGTAATGACTGACTGTTGGGTATAACATTTCAAGTGCATGCTGTCCCCTGATTTTTCCTAACAAAGTCTGATTTTGTTTCAAGAATTGACAGACCTACATCAGAAACCTGCATTCATGGATACAGCATGAGAGGTCAGGTCAAGACTACTTTCAGCTCTATCTTCATGTCACTACTTTCTTTTGTTATGAAACGGCTTCATCACTTGCTACTGCAGATCTTACTATAAGAACACAGCTGGGGCTGCAAAGATGAGGTTGCTGCACAAGCCTGACAATCTGACACTGGTACCCAGGACAACAGTGGAAAGAGAACTGCTTCACCAAGCTATCCTGATTCTAAATGCACAGTAGCATGCTTGCACTTGAGCACATACACGCATCACGCACGCACCCACCCATACCCACACCCTCACGCGCGTACACACACAACACCACAAATAGTAAGTAAAATAACTTTTTAAAGTAGCTGGGTGGAATGTTTCAGTATTTCCAACAAGGCTCTTAAAAACCTCCCCCAATTTAAGTGCTAAGAAAAGCAGGAAAACGAAGACCTCTCTGCTCTGTTATATGAGAAAAATCATTCAAAATTTGATATATTTGTCTGATTTTGAACTGCTTTTCTAAACAAAATTGACTATGGTTTTGAATCTTTTATAATCATCATTTTTGTTTTTTAAAAAAGACTTCAAATTTTTTTGAAGAACATGGCCAGTAAAAAATATAATAACGGCAAGATGCTTAACATAAAAGGGAACTAAACCTTAGTAGCCAGTCAACAGTAAAAGTTCTACCTGAAGCCAGACATTGGGCTCACACACACCTGTAATCCCATACCTGGGAGGCATAGGCAGCAGGATCAGGAACTGAAGGCTAACCATTGATACAGAGCAAAGCCAATTCTGTTATGTAAAACCCTGGTTCAAAGCACTAAAACACAACCCAAAACAGCAAAAAGGTGTCCTACCGGAGAATCTTTCACAATGCTTGTTGTATCTGGCTGCATTTGATTTGCAATCCCAAAATCAATTAGCTTTAGCATTCCATCAACTATTAGAAAGTTAGCAGGCTTCAGATCACTATGAACAATGCCTTCAAAATAAAATTCATTATGTTAGATGAAGTAAAACATTCTATAGACAAAAACATTTCACAATCTCTGGGTTAAGCCAGTTCTTTTAACCAGTCAACACATTAATATTCATTTATTACACAGTATATATCTTCTTACCAAATACAGTGTGCCAGGGGCCACTCTAATTTGTCACTTGTAATGAATACTTTAGACCTGTTTGCAATGTTAAGTAAATGAGTAAGGACCATTGTCATCCTCATTTTAAGTTTGAGAACACTAATGCAATCTGACTTTAAGTGAATTGCTAGCCCTAAAGTGAGGAGGAACTAAAGCTAGGCACTTTGGCTATCAGTGTGTGGTGGAATACTGCTCACACTGCCCAGGACAGCATCACCCATCCCGCCAGACAGTAACACCAAATGCTTCCCACACCACCCAAGAGCCCTAATCGCTGACTAGTTATTTTTTATGTTATAAAAAGAGAAGCAGAGAAAACACATAAACTGAACAAGTTTATTTTAAAGATAGGGTAAAGAGCATAGAAAAGCTCTGAAAGAACTAAGTACACACACACACACACACACACACACACAAAAAAAAAAAAGGAGGGGGCTAATAGTAAAACACAAAAGCAATAACAAAACAACTTTGACACAAGAAAATAGAAAATTCTTTGGAGATTGCAGTACTGACCATCACCCTATTTTTAGGATGCTCAGACCCTCAAGTCTAGGACCTACTACAACCCAGGGACTTGAAGGTAAGAAGCACCAGTTACTATCAAGGAAGATAAGGTCACATTGTACATGTAAGGATTTAAATTTGTGTTCTGTGTTCTGTGCATAACCAGTCTTAAGAAATGGGGTTGTCCCTTAGGAACTGATAAAATAAGAGTATTTCTCTAAGATGACAGAATCAAAAACTATTTAAATTTTACATATATGAAGAGATTTTAAAATAACCATGCTGATGGATTGTGTGTACTGCCTCCAACATGTTTTTCCAGTAGCTCTTTCGTTCCCATGGATTGATGGATTTTTTCTTCTTAAGCCAACTATTCAGGTCAATGTTTCCACATTCCATTACCATGTAGATGTATTGCTCTGTGATTTCACTGCAGTTAAAAATGAACAGAAACAACAAAACAATAATTGCCTACATTAAATTTACTATTTGCCTAAGAATTATGGCAAAACAAAGTTTTCTTTTTAAAATAAAAATGGGCCCATACTAGTCATATAGTCGGATGATCTTATCACTGTGTTGCTGTAGTTTGTTCAAATAAGCTATCTCATTACGGTAGCTGTCAATAGTTTGGTTGTCTGCATCTTCTAGGTTTACATATTTGATAGCATATATTTGCTTCTTTTCATTCAATACCTGGAATACCTGCACAGACAATAAAGAGGAAAGTTTAGGACACACTCTCCCTCTATAAACCATCACAATGCTTTTTCATTTTAGATCAACAATTTTATGACGAAAAATTTCTGAAATAAATACTGACATTCTGGGCCTACTTGGAATGTGGAAGTAAAAATTGATGATGACAGAGTAAGTGCCCAAATGGCCTAAGCCAAATTTAAACATGAAAAATTATAGCCTATTCATCCATTGCCCACATGGACAGCCCCTGTGGTAATGGACATTCAAGTAACTAAACTGTACAAACACCTGAAGTTTTCCACATCAACATCAAAGAAAAGCAACTTAAATTTGCCATGTTCACAAAACTCTTGGGATGCCAAGTATAAGCCATCATTATCCACTTGTGGAAAGTAGGGTAAGTCACATTTTCAGTTAGGTTGGCAGGAGCGATAAAGTTCTTGTGAGTCAATCTCTAAACACCAGTAAGACAAACAATACTCTGAAAGAGGCAAGCATACTTCATGTTCAGCTTCCAGCACATACTCACTGCAGTGGTGCCTTGAGACTTCAGTAATTCAAATCCAAAGCACAGAGCTGAAACACATGTGCATCCACTTGTACCCTATGGCACTGAAAGTGTCATTTAACTGTGACTACTCCATAGATTCTTGGGATCAATGAACCTAAATGTATGTGAGGCTCAAGGACTGAAACTGCACACATAAGAAGAACTATCAGGCCCTAAGTAGAGCTTACTCATCTTCAATACCAGCTTTTCCAAAAGAATGCACACGGTAAGGGTTTCATTAAACCATTTCATACATAACTCTCTTCCCCACTCACTTCCCTCCCCTGTCCACTACCTCATGGTCTCCTTCCCAAAGGCATCTCTCTTTCCTATCATTCCTATTCAATTACTCTTACCCCCAACTCCTTCCTCATGCTTACTGAAAATTTGATAAAGAGACCATGAAAAGAAAACTATTTATTGGAAGACTTGCTACGTTTGGTAATATACCCCAAGCCTACATAGCTTATATTTGGCCTCAGCATGGCAGTTGCTGGGATTATAGATGAATGCTACAAAGTCTAATGTTTTTCTTATTTGCAAAACATTAATAAGACAGTCTTAAACAAGACTTGTTATTGTTAGCTGGCTAATAGCCGAGAAGGAATATTCAACAAAAGAACGATGTCTCTATTCACTTGTAGACATCAGACCTAACTATCACTGATCAGTCAAACATTGCCATCTTGATAGTAAGTATAGGGAGAGGGCACAAACAACAAATAAACTATTCAGAGAATGTGGTTAATAGGAAAGCTACGACCAGGCATCGTTGCACACACTTTAATATCAGCACTTAGGAAGCAGAGGCAGGTTAATTTGAGTTTGACAGTAGCCTTAAAAGAAAGAAAAAGAAAACTACAGTAAAAAAATAAAGAATGGAGAACAGAGGTGATTGGAAGGTAGGAGTATGATCAAGTACTCCTTGGCTGAGAGAACACAAGCAAAGACATGAAGACAGAGATGGGCTGGCAATATTCTCCTGTGATCCCAGCATTGGGGAGGCTGGGGCAGAAGAACTGCTACAAATTCAAGCAAGACACCATGGGAGAAAGACAGGAAGTGAAGATACAGACCAGGTCAGAACAAATGCTGAGTGGGCTTATTATTTATTGTAATAAACTAAGTAAAAAGGTAATAAAAAACTAAATTCTGAAGCTACGCAAGAGGTCGGTAGAACAGCAAGGCTTGCTGACTGGATAGATGTGTATATGAGAATAAGAGCAGTCAACAGGTTTTACACAAGTAATTGTAAGAATAGAGTTGCTATTTATTGCAACTGGAAAAACTAGAGAGCAAGTGTTTACACATCCATCTTAAACACCTAGTAACCAAGACACGATGCTGAGCAGTCAAGTTTGGAAAGTTCATCTGGAAATGAGAGGACTGAACTGGAAATACAAGTTTGGAAACTGTAAGCATAAACACAGCATTTATAATCACAACACTGGAAGAAAACACCAAAGGAAGGCTTGAGTTCAAAAAGAGAAGAAAAGTGATCAAAGCCCAAGCAGTGAGGCATCATACCTAAGGTTCAGGGAAGCGAGGAAGAGTAAAAAAAGACCGGTCAGTGTAAGAGAATAAATACAAGAGTTTATGTGTCTGTATGTGCTCATCTATAATAAGAACAACCCCCAACTGTCTACTAAGAAACCTAAAAGTTAAAGCACATGGATGGCAGCCTGATGATCTTGAACGTGGCTCTATTGGTTAGTGACAAAGGCAGATATGACTGCAGAGGGACGAGAATCACAGTCTGTAAAGCCAGCACTCATAATGCTTTCCTCCTTAATCAGGTAAATAAGAGCAGAGCTCAGGGCTCCAAGCAGAAGAAAATCAAACTATTGAGACTGAAATAATTCAGAGCCCTACTCTTTAAAAGAACTAATGACCAGATGAAAGAAACAAACATATGCATGGTCTAAGGAATTCAATCCAAGACCCTGAAAAGACAATCTCCAAAGTGAGCAAAACAGTAAAGTGGAGGAGAAAGTATAAAATATGGAAAAAATTTACCATGGAAACTGAAACATTGAAAAGGAAAAATAATAGGAATGAATGTTCAGTAAAAGCCACACGAAAAAGCATCATTACTAAGCGAGATTATGCAGAAGAACAAATATTAGGGGTGGAGGACAAAGCTGAGAACATAATACACTTAGACATACATAAATAAAAGACATTTAATGCACACAGGCAATACTCCTAAAAAGTCTGGGATACATCCAAGAATCCAAATCTGAGAATTCATAGATTAGAAAAAAGGTCTGTGATGAATTCACAAAGAATAGACAAATGAAATTACAGCAAGAAATGTCCCAAAGCTGGGGAAAGAAGCAGATATCCAAATAGAAGAGGCAGAGAATGTTCCATGATAAGTCACAGTTAATGTATCAGAACACAAAGCAAATAAACAATATAAAAAGCAGCACAGGAAAAATGCCACTCACACATAAAGGCAGGGGTCACAGAGTACTCTGTGTCATCTGCAATCCTTAAAGCCAAAAAAAACTTAAAATGACATTATTTCAAGCCCTGGAGCACCCAAGAACCAAGAATGCCAAACATTATTCGTCAAAATTGGTGGACAAATAAGGATATTTTAAGACAAATAAATTAAAGCAACTTATAAAACCAAGCCAGTACTGCAGAAAAAGGGAGAGGGAGAGAGAGAGAGAGAGAGAGAGAGAGAGAGAGAGAGAGAGAGAGAGAGAGAGAGAGAGAGAGAGAGAAAGAGAGAGAAAGGGAGGAAGGGAAGGAGGGAAGGAAGGAAAGAAGGGAGGAAGGAAGAAAATACAGGAAAGAAGAATGTTTCTGCGGTAGTCTGAAAGATTAGTGTCTCCTGCAGCTTTTGAACAAACACGCCCCAGTTTGTGGTGGTGTTTGGGAAGGGTTAGGTGACGTGGCTTTGCTGGAGTAGATCACTGGGATCAGCTTTGAGAGAGAGCTTTTACAGTTTGCCCTCTCTGCTTTGTGTGTGAGGGGTTCAAGGTGTGAGCTCTCTGCTTCCTAGTCCTGCCTCCATGTTTGTTGCTTGTCATATTTACCACATCATGGACTCTTCTCCCTCCAGAATAGTCAGCCAAATTAAATTCTAAGTTGCCTAGGCTTTATCACAGCAACAGAAAAGGAACTAATACAGCTTTTTCCAGAGGAACACATGAAAACACACACTCCATGGAAGCAAAAAGAAGGGCCAGAAGAGAATCAAGTGTCTAACACAGCAAACAGCAAATGCCCAAATCAATGTAAGAGAAATATCAAAAATTCTGTCGACCAGAACATAACCTAACAAATTCTTAAGAAATATCAAGTCTGTTTCAATAATAATCTTACATGAAAACAGCCTCAACTTACAAATAAGACAGCACACTAAGTGATTAGAAAACAAGAATCAATTATTTTTTGTCTTCAAGAAACACACGTGGTGAATAAAGACATCAAACAAACAAAACTCAAAAGCCCTCAAAGTGCCAAGCAAACATAAGTATTATTAACAAGAAGTCATAGCTATTCTTCTACCTAATAAAGTAGACTTCAAACTAAAAGTAATCCAAAGAGATAAAGAGGTTGTTACATGTTAATAAAAGAAACAATTTATCATGAAATATAACATGTGTAAACATTTATGGAATGCAGATTGATGCCAATGTCATAAAACAAACACTAAAAGACATAAAAGGCCATGCAGGTCCTGACACATTAATAACGGGAGTCTTTGATACCCAGTCTTATGTTTAGGTAGCTCCCCCAAGCTAAAAATAAAATCATTTCAGAAATAAATTATACCATATATCAATGCATTGTTATATAGAACATCCTGCCCAACAAATACGGAATCAGTCTCAGCACATGTAACCTCCCCAACAGATCACACCACACTGCACTCAGCACACCTTAACCAATGAAACCCTGTGGTAACCCTTGCATCACATCAGGGTAAAAATAGAAACCAATAACAAGAAAAACTATGAAAATATTTGGAGACTAAACAATATACTTTTAAAGGAAAGTCAAATGAAAATGACAATTCTTAAAAAAAGAAACACGGCTTCCAAGAAGGATCAGCAATTAGGAACATTACTTTCTCAGAGGACCCATGTTCAGTTTCCAGCACCCACATGATGGTTAACAACTGTGTATAATTATAGTTTCAAAGGACCCAATACTCTCTTTAGGGCTGCACAAGCACCCTACACTCAGCGGGGAGAGGCAGAAGGAGTTCTGTGATACACAAACATTTAGGCAGGCAAAACTTAAAATCTGTAAAAGAAAAAAATTAATTAAAAAGAAACACAAATAGCTAAAGAATACTTTTAGGTGTGAACAAAGCCCTGGAAAATATATATTAAAATTACTTTGAGATACTGCCACATTCCAGTCAGAAAAGATACAGTCATTATGAAGGTTTCTTAATATTGCCCAGCTATATCATTTGTAGACATATTCTCAAAGGATGCCATATCCTACAACACAGACACTTGTACATCCATGGTAATTGCCATTTTATTCACAACAGCAAGAAATGAAACCAACCTAAATGTCTGAGTGACTCTGAGCACAACAGCAGATCACGTTCTCATGCAACTTTCCAGTCTCCTTGTGATAATACATAATGGTTACTGGCCACTGCAAGCCAATGTTAATGTGACATACAAGGATCTGAGAGCACAGGACACTGAGGAAAAGGCATGAGACTGAGATCCAGTCATAAGTCTAAAGAGGGTAAGTTATTTGAAGGGAAGAAGAGAGGACGATATGAGGCAGCTTTTCTAGCTACTACAGGCAAACAACGGCTTCTAGGAGATAGAACAGCTTCCATACTTGAAAAGACAGAATATTTTTTATTCATTTGATACTTACCTTACTTGAACCTCCACTGCCTATCTGTTTTAATATGGAATAAATTCTTCCTTTAACAGAAATGCATTCATTTACTGATGAGGATCCTGAAATCTAAACAATTAAAACATGTAAATATTAGTTCAAAGAAATATATAAATATTAGTTCAAAGAAACATGTCTAAGAAACTAGTTTGCATTAGGTATAATGAAATGCTCCCAATTTTGGCCAGCCTGATCTATAAAAGACTCTCTCAAAAAGAATCTAAAACAACAACAGAAGCCATAAAAGATAAGTATGTCATAAGAGAAAAGTATGTTAAATGATTTCCAAAGGGGCTCCCACTGGTTTTTACTTAATCTGAATAGAAAATTTAAGAATGCCACTTAATATACAATTGAAAAACTCATGAGTTACCCATTTCATCATTCTCTCCTATTTCTTTTCCTTCCTTTACTTCCACATACATGCAGTCAGGCCCCCTGCTCATCCCATTTAACATTATATAAAAACAATGTGCTAAGGTGCAGCAAGCTCCAGTCAATTAGATAAGGACATTTCATCAACGTCCATCCCTCTCTTCTATCCTGACTGAAGTTCAAGACGTTATGTAATTTCTCCAAACCTCAGCATCTTCCCAGGCAATCTATCTGATAGCATCTAAGTGATGCACATCATGCCCTTCCCTTTCTTCTAACTGGAAGGTCTCACTTTGTCTTATAAAGCCACTAAGATGCCATAGTTTGAGACAGTAAAGCTGAAATGAAGAGTTTTTGACTAGCCAAGTAACTAAATTGAATCAGTCTGAATAAATTTCATTTTAACTGAGTCATGTTTTAAATCCAAAATGACAGGAATCTACCATGTAGTCTCCTTATAGAAAGACAGATGGGTTCTAATTTCTTTATTCTCAGGACTTGAAAGACTTCAGTCAGAGCTGTCTCCCGTGTGTTCTCTTTGTTCCTCCTTAAATAGCATTTCTTAGGCAATAATGACTTTGACACCCTTACCACTATTGTGAACACTTTTCAGAATACAGTAACACCAGCCACCTCTACCTCAATACCAGCAATTTCCTCTAGGATCCTTATCCCCACCCAGCTCTCCTCACTGGGGCCAGAGCTTCCAAACTACTAATCAGATCATTACGCTCTGCTTCTCTATGCCAGTCTAACTTCCAAAAGCCCAGCAAAGCCTTGAACACTGTTTTTTCCTTTACCAAGCTATAGGACACACCTGATTCCTTTTTAAGTCTCTTGTGGCAGTAGTCTAGAACATTCTCCAAGCCCCCTTCCTAGTCACTTTTGAATTGCCTTCTAGATTTTAAACAGAATAGGATTTGTTACCACTAATGGGTCAATAAACAGATCTTGAACCAACATAAATCTCCCCCTCTCCCTCTGGAGAAAGGGTCTATGTAATCCTGGATGTCTGGAACCTAACTATGAAGATCAGGCTGGTCTCAAGCTCACAGGGATCCTCCTGCCTCTGTGTCCTGTGTCCTAAGAGCTGGGACTAAAGGCATGTGCACCATGCCAGGCTTTCCTTTCAATTTGTAACTTATATGATTTCAAGCCTGCGGACTCTATCAAGTCTTTCCATAACTAGTATTATATAATCCATCATCAGGTAATCTTGTTGTTTTTTGTCTTTTTTTTTAAATAATGGCAAAATATACATAACCCAAATGTTGCCTTTCTAACCATTTTTAAGTGCAATTCAGTAGTATTAGATACACTGGTCATTGTGGAAAAATCACTACTGTTTATCCCCAGAATTTTGTCATCAAATATACTGAAACTCTATATCTATTGCCTATCAATAACCCTCAATTCCTCCCTTCCAGGTATGAAATCACTTTTCTACTGTCAATTATTTTTAACCAGTTGGTTTTAATATATGATCACTGTTTTGGTTATTTCACTTAACAATAGAAGTTAATGTTTATTAACATTCAAGTGTCTGGCCATGTTCTGCTTTAGAGTTATACACGTAATTAATGTAACCTTCACAACTATTCTAGCAGTAGGTCGTGCTATTTCTCCATTTGTTACATGATGAAATGGGCACAAAGAGTTCATGTAACTTGCCAAAGATCACACAGCTGGTGAATCACACAGCCAAGAATCACCTTCATGAAGTTTCTCTGAAAGACCCATGTTCACACTGCACTCAGAGGTACTATACAATAATTTAGTAACTTGGCACCTTGTTTTTTTTGTTTTGTTTTTTTTTGTTTTTGTTTTTGGCCAAATAGTAATTCATATGCCAGCAAAATCTTTGTTAGTTTACAACAACACATTCTAAATACCTCAAACTGCTATGCTGACTATTTCAAAGATTCACTTTTCCAAAGGAATTGCACATTAGCAAAGGAAATGAAGCTGTTCATAAAATAGAAAGTGAGCTCCATTACAAGACAACAAGACAAGTTTAACTAAACCATTCAAACTAGATCCTTGGGCCTACTCACTGAGAATAGGTGGGAGATACTCTAATCAAGATGTCAGAAACTTTCCTAAGAATGGACGGGTTCTGAAGACCTTTGTTGACAACCTGATATTGTGAAAGCAGAATCTGTGAGGCTGACTGCACCTTAACGTGCCACCATGAAGCAAGCTCAACAAACCTGCAAGTTTTGAAGAGGAGTATTGAGACCCTGCTGCTGTGGCTGTGGCTGTGGCTGTAGGCAGGCAAGCTGGCCGTAAGGCGTGGATGATGATGGACAAGCAGGTAGAAAGTCATTCTTTACAACTGGAGTCTTAAAACTAGAAAAGATTTTTATTTTCTTTAATATAAAACTATTAAATTAAGAGGATGATTTTTAAGTCTTCATATACTTTCAAAATGGAGTCACATAAACCTAAAATTGCCACATTAGCTAGTTTTTCGTAAGAGCCGATATTTATGTTTTCTACTTATGGCACATTACCTAGTTTTCAAAATAGCTATCACCACCAGATATTCAACTTCAGGAAAATTGTTCTGGAATCAATTTTTATCTCTTGGAAAGAAATCCTTGTTAATAAAATATGCAAATTGAAATTAAACATATGGATAAGGAGAATTTTTTTTTTAACAGTTTAGCCAAGGCAAAGGTCTGCTACAGATTTTAGAACTGTTTTTAAACAATAATGTTCTATGACAGTCTGCTAGAAATAGCCAAGAGCCAATTATGACACCAAAGAAGTTTGATGTTTCAGCTTGTGTGTCTGTTCAGTACACATTCACACTTTTCTCCCATTGTTTTTTCTATTATAGCTCCAATATCGGTAATAGAAGTTGGCACAAAAGAACTCTAAAAATATTAACAATAAATAACTTGGGGCTGCAAAGGTGGCTCAGAGGGTAACAGTGCTTGCTGTGTAAGCATAAGGACCTGAGTCAGAAACCCCTACACCCACGTAGAAAATTGGGCATGACTATGTTCAGGACCATAACCCTAAAGTGTGGGGTCACAGGCACAAGTATGACTAAGGCTTGCTAGCTGCCAGTTTAGCCCCAGGTTCCACGAGAGATCCTATCTAAAGGGAATAAGGTAGAAAACGACACCTCACTATGGCCTTCAGTTACATGCACATGCAACAGCACATACAGACGAGCATACATATAAACACATACACATATAAATAACTTAGCAAAAGCATTATTATTTTAGCTAGCAACCATTCTTTGAAATAGCCCACAATGAAATAAAAGTAGGTAGTAATGAAACTGTAGTATATAGAAAAGAAACTGGTTATAAAAAGGACAGTTCTAATTAGGGTAAAAAATGACATTCTGCAAATAAAAATCTAAAGGCATTAAGGAGTAATATTATCCCTTAAAAACATTAAAAATAAAGTTGGGCTGTGGTGGTACACACCTTTAATCCTAGCACTTGGGAGGCAGAAGCAGGAGGATCCCTGTAAGTTCAAGGCCAGCCTGGTCTACAGAGCTAGTTCTAGGACAACCAGAGCTACATCGAAACCCTGTCTCGAAAAACTGGGAGGTGGAGGGGTGGGGGTGGGGATTAAAATTATAGCCAACAGTTGAAGCCAATAGTAATTTTTCTTTGAAATGTCACCATTTTCTTTCAAAAAACCTTTAAAAACCCCTTTTCATCAGTCCTGACCATCCAGTTTCTCACACATCGCTCATTCCTGTCCCAAGTCCTGTATCTCTGAATACTTTCTAAACCATGTGAATTATATACCTGACCTCTTTCAGAGGCCATTCCATTAAAAAAACCACTCGCTACACAAAAATATCTATCTCCTGATTCATTCTAAGAATGCTAAACTTCTTTAAAACATGTTTCCCAGTACAAAGGCATACATGTTATCAAGAGAGAATGTGTCATTAGATTTCCAAGCTCTAAAGATTACACTGACAAAGATTACTACTTCCACAATAGCCCTTAGAAACAGAATTACTATACATCAAGACAATACATGTGCAATCATAACCACTTTCCCCTTTGCATTTTATAGGTGACAAAACGGATATTGGGAAAGAAAGTAATTTCAAAGTATAAGAGAGCAGGTTCAAGAAAGTTCAGTTTAGTCCTAAAATTTGTCTTATTTCTATTTACTACCTTGCATTCTGAGCTCAATATAAAAGGTAATTACCAGCTCATGTAATCATCCAAGGAATTGCTACTAGGTGTCTCACAAACAGATTTTGGATCGATCCATTTAGGAGCTGACATTGGAGGTGACTGCTTTGAAACTGATGAGGCAAGTTGCTCAACAGTGGCACACTTCTGCTAAAAGAAAATTTAAAATTCTATAATTTAAGAGCTTTTAAATTAGACAATGATACAACAATTTAACAAATATAACCTTTTACAATAATAAAAATATGAAAAGCAAAACATAAAACAGGTGGGCATATAGGTGTTCACACACATGTGCACATGTACAGGTGAGTTCACTGGTCAACTTAGGGTGCTCTTCAGAGGCCATGCATTGAAGGGAGATGCCATTCTGTATATATGTTTCTCTTATTGGTTAATGAATAAAGCACTATTGGCAAATAGGAAGGCAAGCTAGGCAGGCCTAGGAGACAAGAAAGATTCTGGGAGATGTAGTAGAGGAAAATCAAGACATAGGGACTTGAGAGGAAGAGGCCCGACTCTCTCTCCAGTAAGATAAGACCATGTGAAAACACTTAGATAAATAAAAATGGGTTAATGTTTAAGATAGCTAGCCAATAAGAAACGCTAGTAACAGGCCAACAGCTTTATTATATCTAATACAGCATCTCTGTGTTATTTGGAGCTGATGCAGCTGTGGGACCAGGCTGACAGGAAAACTGCTTGTAACAATGCAAGTATTTATCTAAGACCTGAGGCTCATAGATTACGCTAGGTTGGGCCAACAGACCCACCTGTCTCCATCTCCCTACAAGCACATGCTACCACCCCTGGCTTTTTACACTGATGCTTGTGATCAAAGTCAGGGTCTCATGCTTGTGCTCCAGGTACTGACTGAGCTCTGTCCCCTGTCCAATTTTCAGTATAATTTTATTACAGTTCTTTTATTCTAAACTTTTAATATACTCTATTCCCATTGGTTATATATCAGGAAAGCATACAAAATTATAAAACAAAAATATTTATACAATATTCTTCTATCTACAGAGACAAAGATAAACATCAATTTGGGGACAGTCTTACTTTTAAAAAGTATTTGCACTAGATTACACCGATTTCTATTATTATTTCAGACTAAACTTAAGAATCATAATGGATAAATGTATTCTGCTTTCTGTACCAGAGTCCTCTGACCTCTCTTCTTGAAATGCTTTTCTCTTTCATTTAAGACCTCCTCATGTGTACACAGGAGTGCAGACATGTACACTGGGATTAGTGATGAATATGTGATTAAGACACTGTTAGAGAAAGTTAATGAGCATGAAATGTCGAAGACAGTGATAAGAGAGGAATGTGTGCACTTGTTATTTTGGAAGTAAGAACTGAGCAAATAAGTGTGTGTGGCTACCAGTGAAGAATGGCCATTAGAGAGGAGTTAAGGATTTGAAGGCCAGCACTAAGACAGGTGATACATGGGATGGGTGTAGAAGCCAGAAGAAATCAGGAATTGCTGGCTTTTTTATGACCCAGAGCCCAGTATTACTTGGGTCGTTGTAGACCAGTGGTTCTCAACCTGTGGGTCGCAATCCCTCTGTTTCCAAAAATACTTAACATTATGACTCATAACTGATAAATTACAGATATGAAGTGGCAATGCAAATAAATACTGCTATGGTTGGGGTCAGCACTGGAACTGTATTAGAGGGTCACAGCATTAGAGGTGAAGAACCAATGTTGTAAACAGTCTCACTATGCAGCCTTGGCTGGCCTGGAGCTCAATATATACATCAGGCTGGCCTTGAACTCAGAGATCTCCAGGAACAGCCAATGCCTCAGGCCCTTGTGATCACCTGCATTCACAGGCACATACCCACACATAACAAAAAAATTAACAAAACCACAATAGTCTATTAGCAAACTGACAAAAATAGAATTTCTCCTGACATGTACTCTTATTAAATCTATAGGTGCTATTGATCATAGTATTCTGAAAAAATAACATCATGTAAATAAACACTTTAAAAGCGCAATACCCCGCACAAACATCAAACTTCAGACATGTTACAGTATGTCCTTTAAGGGAACAGTTACCTCTTTATGAGTCTTCGGGGTTACCTCTGGAAAGTGAAACTGGTTCTGGCTCACACACTCGGACTTTCTTGTGGACTGCCATGGTTTGTGCTTTCTTTCTGCAATCTCTGGTTCTTGACGCACTTTAGTTTCTGAAATTTTTTTGTTATAACTAAAAATTAGTATTTGATGATAAAAATAATTAAGGTCAGGTATGGTGTCGTTGCCTATAGTCTCAGCTACCCTGGAGGTTGTAGTAGGAGAGGAGCACTTGAACCAGGGAATTTGAAACCACCCTGAGCAGTACAGCAAGACCCCATTTCAAAGCAAAGCTAAACAAACCCAGAATACGTAAGTAAACTCAAGCAATAGGAGGGTGATAAAAACTATGCTTCATTTCACTCTGATAAAACAAAAGGAAGAGGGGAAAGAAGGGTGGAAGGAGTCAGATTCACAAAACTGCAAGGCACTAACTTCCCTAAATAGTTTCCAAGTTTCATAGGAGACTATACCAGATTTCAGTGCTTCTGTTTTTTTAATAAATAAGTTAAAATTTTAAATGTGGATATTAAAGTCTTACTAATGAAGAGAAGCTAACTAACCACTCTTCTTAGACCTCCATTTTAATACAGATTTTATTTTACTAGCTTATAATTGACTGTCTTAAAGGCCTAAAAACAGAAAATGCCAATAAGATATTTACAATTCAATGAATACCAAAATTCTAAACTCTAAGTAAAGTATTAACAACTAATGAAAGGCCTAACAAATTATATCAAAATATGATTCATTCCTAAATGTTGCTTGCTAAATACACCCCCCCTCAAAAAAATCAGGGTACCTTGCTATAGTCAAAGAGAAATAGATGCTAACTCAACAATGAAAGGTCATTTGATAAAATTCAATGTTTAGCCACACAAATACACAAAAATATTAATAGTCTACATCTAAAGTAGAACTCAGAGAATTAGATAAAAAGCAACAGTAAAAATCTATAGCAGATATATGAGTTAAAATATTGAAAATGTCTCCTTAAAATAGTGAGGCATGGAATTCATCTGTCATCCCCCTAGCAATGCTAATTCTGGACCTCTTGGAAGCTGCAAAATAACAAAGAAAATGAACAGGATAAGAAAGAGAAAAGATATTTTCAAACATGATTATGTACATATAAAAACCCACAAACTAGGCACTGCATCACATCCTCAGCAGGCTGAGGCAGGAGGATTGTGAAGAGAGCTGGGAAGTATAGCATGACACTTTTGTCTCCAAAAATAACAAATAGTCAAGCACACACACACACAAAAGCCCTAAAGAATATATAAGATTATTAGAATTGTTCATCAAATTTAGAAATGTCAATATAAGTTAAAAAAAAATCAATTTTATATACCAGCAATAAAGTTGAACAAAATTTTGTGAAGCAAAGAGTACTCTTCATTATGACAACATCACTATCAGCCCCCCTAGGGTAAATCTACCATAGAATGTTCAAGAGTGCTGGTGAACACAGCTCTCTTAATGTCTGGAGAATGGAAGCATGCCAGGCTAGCAGCCTGAAAAGCTGAAGAGTGAAGATGACAATTTGTCTCAGATGTTTTTACAGGTTCAACTGTTTCTCAATCAAACTTACATTTTTCAAAGGATGGAAACTGATATATAGATCTTAATATTTTCATGGAAATTCAAATGCTAATAAGAATTGAAATGATCCTAAAGAACAAAACTAAAACACACTCACTAGTACCAACAGGCACGAAGACTCACTACAATAAAGACAAAGCAATTGAAACAGAGACAAAAACCCAAACCAGACACCAACACAGAATCACCTAAGTTTTCAGAGGATATTCGAAATGGCTCTGGGCCAAAAAGACATTAGTATGAGAACAAATCTTGACTCTTTATCTTATTCATATGTTCATGTTAAGTTTAAGCAAAACTGAATCAAATATGAAAGATAAAATGATTACCTAAAATATATAAATGTGTTTAGGATACTGCATAAATCTTGTTTAAAAAAAGAGAAAGTATAAAAACAAAGACTGGCAAGTCAGAATGCACAGAAATTCAGAATTCTATTTCATCAAATTAGCCACCAAATGAACAGTATTAACAAGCATATTTGATATAGATGATTTTTCCCAACAGTATCGAAAGATAACAAGAAAATATGAAATATAGTTTCCAACAAATACCAAGATTAGGAATCTGTTCCCAGTCAGCATCAAAGCAAACATTACTGGGAAGGGAGGCTTCCCTGGGACACCAGACTTCCAGGTGTATGAAAGCACCAGGCAAACACCAGGGCAAATCCCTCCACAGCTCTACAACATGTGAAGAGAAACAATGTAACATCTGAAAGGACTATGGGCTTCCCAAGGATACTAAAATATTATCCCCAGCTCTTATCACAGCTTCGGAAAAGCATTAGCACACACTCAAAGTCACCCAATAACCCTGGTCCTCCCCTGAAAGCAGGGGCTTACTTAGGAGGTCTTTTCACTCAAGTTACCTAGTCTTACTTCCCACTCTATCCATCTGTCTTCCAGTGTTCAACCACACTGGATAGCCCTGTTTATGTTCTATTCTTTTGCCTAAGCTATTCTTCTCTCTATCTGAGCTCTATTACTGTGAGCCCTCACTTAAATGCTGATGGGGTTTCAAATTTCTTACCTTTCATAGATTCTTTCATATTTCCCCTAATCCAAATTAGGTTCTTAAGTTTCCCTCTCCTAAATTCTCATAGCATTTTACTTGCATCTCTCCTAACAATCTTTACATTTTATTCCACATTATGTGTTATTTATTCTACACACATTCCATAATTGACTTGCAATTTTGGGACTCTATTCCTAAAATTATTGGGTTTCTATTACATTACAGTACCCATGTAGTAGGAAATCAAAGTATGACTTAAAATAAAAAGCAAAGTGAGCTGTGATACAGAAATTGCCTTTTTTCCTTTGATGAAAATGGCAGTCAAGCCAACTAAGAGAAATGACTCAGTTATTGTATTTCTATTATATTACTGTCCTTCCTCTCTTTATTTTATGCACCCTTTAGACAAATGGCTTTCTCCCCTATAGGATTCAATACTTTTCATGCATTCTGTAAGAAAATTAAAACAGGAAATAAAGGAAGACAAGTTTTATATCAAAAATAGGTCATTAATCTGTTTTCTCACGCTATGTAGGTTTTGTGTGTGTTTGTGTGTGTGTGTGTGTGTATGTGTGTGTGTGTGTGTGTGTGTGTGTGTGACCACAGAAGTCAGATAACAACCTCAGGTACCAGTTCTTGCTTTCCATTTTGTTTGATACAGGGTCTCTTCTCGTTCCATGCTATACATATCAGGATAGACAGCCCAGGAGTTTCGGGATTTGCTGGAGTTACAGACGTATACTACTGAATTTAGCTTTATGTGGGTTCTCCTGGAGATTTGAATTTGGTCCTCATGCATACATGGCAAGCACTTTAACCACACAGCCACACTCCAATCTGTGTATGTGTGTTTTATTCTTTGATACTTTCAAATGTATCATTTTCACGCGATGGTTACCTTCTCTTATTTCTCCCTCTCCCTAACTGAAACCCTTTTTATTCCCAACAAGTCTCCCTCTGACTTTCATGGCCCCCTTTTGTATACGGCAATCAAGATTGCTTGCATGAGCACTCACCTTCCAATTTTGTGAGGCTTGATTCAGTTTTACTCTTCAAGGTTACTGAATCAGAAATAAGTTCAGAACTTTTTTCACTGGACAGTAGAGAATCTTTGAAATGGATAGTTTGAATGGGCTACACAAAAAACAGAAAAGATTTCAAGTAAGATAATAATACCATAAACAGCAGCCTTCTAATTTGTCGTACTGTTCAATATAATAAAGCTTTATCTATGTGAAAATGAATGCCTGCAAAACTATCTCTCATGTTTGAGTAGGCTCACAAACTCTCAGATAATATAAATTTCCTCAATTACCAATTGCAACATCAGGAAGGGTCATAATCATTAACTCGGTGAATTTGCTTTCAATGGAGGTGCATTTTCTTCCAGTGGACATATTAATATTACTTGTTACACTATTTTCACTCAGAAAAGGAAGTGTTAGGAATGTAGAATAAGCTTATGACAAGAGAAAATGTAATTATCTTTTTTATATTACTATACTTTTTTTTTTTTTTTTTTTAGTATGTGTTTTATTTAGTATGTGTTTATAGGTTTTGCAGTGCTGGGAACTGAACCCAGAGCCCCAAATACGGCAGTGAAGTGCTCTACCACTGAGCCAAATCCCCTGTTCTGATTTTACTATATTACCAAAATAACAGCACTAGTAAAACTTAACACTTGCAGAACCTTGCCAGTAGTTATAAATTCAGAGTGTAATCTTTTTGATACAATGAAATATACCATTCCCTAAAAGTAGAGAAAATTCATTTTTCAAAGCAGAGGTCATTAAAGTTGAAAATTCACACTACAAATGCCAGGGATTTAAGCCAGGTATACTAAGAATATTAGACCCTCTAGTAATCACTGCATCTGGAACGAGTCACTTTCTTGTAAAGTTAATAAAGGCTGGGTCAGAGGAGATTAACTATGATACCAACATGTGCTATGGTTTTTAAGACGCTTTGTCAGAATCATATGATTAAATGCAGCAATAAACAAAACCTGGTAAATAGCCCCCTACTGATTCCCAGACACAGGTCAACTAATCCATTTAAATATATGCTAAGTAATGTACCTCATGGTTCTTCCAAAAGATGACTGATACTTGCTCTAACACCTTAATATTTGAGAGACAGTCCAAGACTTCTGCACCACCTCTTAGTGGAGGTTTCAAACGTCCTGTGGCTTCACCAAAACATTGGAGACAGATAAACACTAGATCCTTTCCCTAAAGAGAGCTCTATATGACTTCTAGACCTGGAGTCTTTGCTTCAAACATTTAAAGTTGAATGAAATACCTTTAAACCTCTTAATTCACAGGAATCATTTCCACTTGGTTTGGATCCAGGAATAATCGAATCTCGGTATTCTGATCCGGATATCTTTCTATTAACCATGAAACAAACAGATTTTAACAGTTGACTTGAAATTGTTTCATTTTTCATTTTAAAATTGGCTTTAAAAACACGTTTGGTATGTATACACTTAGAATTGGAAACATCTGTTTAAAAGACATCTTTAAGAGTGACATAATTCTAATACAAAGGTGACCATGCTTAAAAATTAGGTCCTGGGCAATGACAGATTGATAAGGAGATAGATAATTGCCTATGTCTTCATTACCTAATAAGTTACAGCTGGAGTTAGATAAGAATGTGGGAAAGGAAAAGTATGTAGGTGAAACTACATTTCAGACTTCACACAGATCAAGGATAAGAACATGCAATGAACTGCCATGTGGACCTCTATAATCTGCCATACAGTCTATTGTATAAAGCACATCAAAAAATTCAGTCTGTATGCTTCAACTAGGTATTTGAAATGGAGAAGCAAGAGAAATTAACAGGGATATATAACTTATATGCACATATCCTTCTTAACTATCAATATTCATTCAAAGCCTAAATATAACAGAACCTCAATTATTGAAGATACCAACTAAAATAGTTATACTTCTCAATTTTATTAGCACCTACCACCACATCCAGCATATTCCCATTTCTTATTTGGGAGTAAACACTAAAACTGAGAGTATCTATCAGATGTGATGAATATTTTATCTCTGAAGATGGAGTTGTACTATGTTGTCCAGGATAACCTCCCAACTGTTGATGTAAAAGATTCTGGCTCAGCCACCCTGCTACCACAGGTTACAGGTCTGCACCACTTTACTCAGCAGCCAATTAATTTACCCTATTTCTTTTTTGATGCTAGGGGATAGAGCCCAGAGCACTGCACATGTTTAGCATTTACTCTGCCAGAGCTAGCTTCAGCCTCTCTCCCACTTCTTGAAGCCCTGAGCTCTGAAACAATGAATGAACTCACTATCATTTTGACCAATAGTCAGCCCCTGAAGAGGATTTGTAAAAGTGTGTGCACATGACTTTAATTCCAGCACTCGAGAGGCAGAAGTAGACAGATCTCTGAGTTTGATAGGTCGTGGTTGGTGAGCCGAGTAGACAGGCTCCAAATGACCGGCCAGGAACCAACCAAAAGGAGGCAAACGAAAGCCAGGCAGCCACGAAGCATCAACAGCAGCAGCAGCCACAAACTACAGTGAGAAGCTCCTCTGGGAAAGAGCAACTGCGTCCCAGCCAGCCGCCAATGCCATTCTCTGTCTGGGATACCCAGCAGCATCAAGGACCTCCACAGCATCAGAACTGCCTACACCCAAAGGAGCAATCACCAGAGACTAGGCCCTGCCTACATCTGGAAGACAGAGCAACACAGCCACAGCCCCAAACTACTATTGAACAAAGAGGGACCCCCTGAAACACAAGCTCCATCTGTAATGATCAGAGAAGAGATGGGTAGATAACAAGAATATGTCCAACAACATAAAGAGCAATATGGCACCTCCAGAAACCAGTGCTTTTACAACATTAAGACCTGAATATCCCAACATAGATGAGGCAGAAAAAGACGACCTAAAAAATAACTTTATGAAGATGATGGAGGCCCTTAAGAAGGAAATGAAAAACTCCCTTAAAGAAATAGAGGAAAAGACAAACAATAACAAAAAGTTGGAAGAAATCAACAAATCCCTGAAAGAAAATCAAGAAAAAGCAATTAAACAGGTGAAGGCAATAGTTCAAAACTTAAAAAAATGAAATAGGGGCAATAAAGAAAACACAAACAAGGACATTATGGAAAGGGAAAACATGGGTAAATAATCAGGATCTATAGATGTAAGTATAAATAACAGAATACAAGAGATGGAAGAGAATATCTCAGGCATTAAAGATGAGATAGAGGTAGTAGATTCATTGGTCAAAGAAAATGTTTAACACAAACAATTTTTAACACAAAATATCCAGAAAATTTGGGACACTGTGAAAAGACCAAACCTAATAGGGATAGAAGGAGAAGAAATACAGCTCAAAAGCACAGAAAATATATTCAACAAAATCATAGAAGAAAACTTTCCCAACCTAAAGAAGGGCATGCCTATGTTGTGTCCTGGTCTACAGAATGAGTTCCAGGACAGCCAGGGGTATTCTACAATTTTTGTTTATTTTCAGACCAGCTAATCCCTGCTAATGAAGCTACTCACACATGCTAGGATCAGCATTCTTCCCACTAGAGGTGCTACTCATTAACAAGAAATGCTCAAACACCATAAATTACTCTTCAAAGCTTCCATACTTCATGATCACTTGGTAATTTTCTCATATATTTCCCATTATTTAATAGCTCCTTTAATGAATATTTTAAATGAAGGAAAACTGAAGATATTTCCTCTAGTCACATTTTTGTTCCTGACAGTAATCAGAAATTCATTTTAGCCAGGCATGGTGGTACATACCTGCAAATCCAGCACTCAAGATATGGAGACAGTCCATCTTGGGAGAATATATCTCAAAGGACCAAAAACAAACCAAGAAGAAACCCAGTAACTTCCAAACCAAAGAATGATCAAATTATGCCAAGCCTGGTTGCCACAAACACCTGTAGTCCCAGAAGGCACGGATTATGGCAGGAGTACAGAGTTTAAGACTAGCCTAGGAAAATCAGTGAAATTTTGTCTCAAATACAGAAAACAGTAAAAAGAGGGATGTGAATAAAGCTCTATGGCAGAAAACTTGCCTAGCAAGTCTAAGACATTAGGATCAACTCCTAGAACTACAAAGAAAAATAAATTAATCCTAATTTCAATTACTTAGTAAAGGAAAAAAAAAAAAAAAGATATTCTGACATCGGTCTTTAAATATAAAGAAATTTTAAAAACCCAAACTCAAACATACCTTTTTATAAAATTTGGTGCGGCTGAACCATCTGTCTTCACATGGTAATCTGGACTATTTAGAAGGTTAACTGGGACTCTTCCAAAGGGACACGACTAGAAATGATTTGAAAGATTAAGTAATCAATGGGTACACACAAAGAATTTACTACCATCACCTTCCTCAAAGTACACTGAAAATAACTTACCCGTTTAGTTTTGTTAGTTTGTTGTAAGGGATTTCGGTGACTTATTTCTGCATCTTGTGGAGGCACGTTTTCTCTGAATAGAAAGAAAACAGCTATGATTTTTCAGAGAATACTATTAATTCGTATCTTCATTTTACTGTTAAACATAGTTATTATACTTGCATGAAAATATACATATGTGGATATATAAAAGATAACCATGTAAAGAACTGAACACCATTTCTTACCCATATAAAACCCTGGCTATAGCAGGTGGCCCTTTGGAATCACAACTGATTCTCCTATGCTGTGGATTTCCAACCGAACTGGAGAATGATTCTTGGGCACTTAGTACAGTAGATGCTGTAAAAATTTCACAACTGTGATTACATTTACAGAAAAAAGAGTAATCGTACAAATAGGAATATTATAAAAGACAATTTATAATAGGTAAGAGCCCTCATGCAGGATATGGAAACAAGACAATGTCATCAATACATTTTTTCCCAACTATTACTTCAAATGTTCTTTACACAAATGGTTCTACCCCAGGATAAAAGTATATTCTTTACTTCTAAGAATAAAATGCTACTTTCTAACTTTGATCAAATCATTTTTAAGGAGTTACCAACACAAATTTAATGTAGGATCTTTGTTTCTGAATATCTTACCTCTTCAATACCTGTAATTTAACTTTAGGTTTTAAGCAGTATACCTATTTTTTTTTTTTTTTTTTTCTTTTTGTCTTTAAAGTATCCTGAATCCCGATTTTACTCCAGCAAAGCACAGTACACACTGGTAGTCACCTGATAAACTCTTCTTGTCCTCCTCTGAAAGCAGCTGCTTTTTCTGGAGGTGTAAGTTGCATATGGCAATCTCCAGCATCTGGAGTGGTACTGCTCCACTTTCTACAGCTTTATGAAGAAGCTGTTCACCTTTTTTAAGATTGCCTAAGAGAGGGAAAACTGTTATTTGATGCAGCACTTTTTACCCTCCATCTCCAGCTTCATTTAAACCTAAGAGGAAAAGTAGACTTACATTATTGCATAGGCAAATAAATAAGCCATTTCTCACTTCTCATACATATACTCAACTCCTCTCTACCAATCCCTGTTCATCACTGAAACACCACTTAAAGAAATTTAATAAATTACAAAGGTAACTACACCAATTAGAAACATCTTGACTACTCTACATAGTACAGCAGTCCTGGTACCAACCATTTGTTATAACAAACTATTCACAGTAACATTTAATCATCAAGACTGGAAATCTGCTAGAGTCTTCTAGCAAAAGGTTTTACATAAAAAGAAAGCTAAAGGGCTAATATCTGCTGTTAGACAAATCTACACAACTGACAAAATACAAAATAACTAAGAAAGATTACACCTAACTAAATAGATCACCAAGTTTTCTTTCAAATACAAACTTTAACACTAATATTTGATAAGTATCCAATGTGTACATCATGTGTCATATAGGATGTTAAGAACAGTCATGGAACTCATGGGCTATGAGGCTATGAATATGGCCCTTAGGGTATAGACAATATCAAGTATAAAAAATATGGAAAACACTACAAGATATCACCATAGGAAAAGATTTTGTGAAAGAAGCCCCAGTTGCTTGGGGAAATGAAGAAAAGCTGGCAAATGGGACCTTATGACACTAAAGTTTCCATACAAAAGCAAAGAATCATGTAAATCAAAGAAACCACATTTAACATGGGAGATCTTTGCCAGCTATGCATCTAATAGAGGTCAAATATCCAGAATATACAAAGAGCTTTAAAAAAAAAAAAAAACAAGAAAACAACCCAATCAACAAATAAGTTAATGAAAAGACAGTCATAAAGGAAATACAAATGGTCAAATACATGAAACTGTTCAACTTCACTAGCCACCAGAGAAACACAAACCAAAATTATATCAAGAATTCATCCTACTCCAGTTAGAATGTGAGTCATTAAGAATACAAACAGTAATGCTGGTGCAGATATGGACATAAGAAAATTCTTAAACAGCACTAATAGGAATATAAAGTAGTCCAATCTTTGTGGAAATCAGTAGTGAGGTTTCTCAAAGCACTAGTAACAGATCTAACATATGACCCAACTATCTATCTGCTGGGTACTTAGAAGACTGCAACTCAACATGTAACAGAGGTACTTCACAGTACTGTTTACTGCAGCAGTACACACAGCACTGAAGATATGGCTCAGTGTTTAAGAGCTCTTGTTCTTATAGAGAGCTATGGTTTGGTTCATAGCACTCACGTGGTAGCTGGCAACCATCGTAACTCCTGTTTCAGGTGAATCAACACCTTCTTCTGACTTCTATGGGGGCCAGGTGTATACAGGGTTCAAGAACACACATGCAGGCAAAACACTCACACACATAAAATAAAACAGAAAACTATTCACAAGTGCTAGGCTGTGAAATCAAGATGGGTATCTAATAGAGAGATGGATGACAAAATGTAATACATATACACAATGTAATTATTTTCAGTCACAAAGAATGAAGTTATGACCTTTGCAGGAAAATGGATGCAACTAAAGAAATTATATTAAGCAAATTAAACCAATCTTAGTTAAACATCATTTTTTTAAATGACCCTAGACTTCATATAGTAACATAAGATCATGTATATATATGCAAATAGAGTTGAAACTGTCTGGGGTAACAAAGGTGATTAAAGAGGGAAAGGGAGAGAAAGAGGAGGGTGGGGAGAATTTGGGTAGGGAAGATATGCTCAGCATATAATATATGCCCTAAAAAAAACTTTTAAAACTAAAAATGATACTAAGAAACAAACTCTAGTTACTCTTAATTTACAAATTTTGAAGACTAGCAGAAAATGCGGGAATGATAAATCCCTATCTTTATTGAGAATAGTGATAAGATTACATGTACTTGAATACTTTAGCACACCTAAGACTTAGAGAAGCACCAGTAATTCAACACCGTATTAAGTCAGGTCAGAAAATCATTAGAGAACCTGATAAAAACTCTGGAATGTCCTTCTCATCTACATGCACACAGCAGTCTGTGCACAGGCCTCAGGAAGCTCATCTCCTACTAACCTATCTATCCACCTTTCTCAAAATAACCACAATTTTGACCCGGCAGCTACTGCAACACTTCAGTGACTTAGTTTTGGGTTTTTGTTTGTTTTTTGTTTTTCAAGACAAGAGTTTCTCTGTGTAGCTTTGGAGTCTGTCCTGGAGCTCACTCTGTAGACCAGTCTGGCCTTGAACTTACAGAGATCTACCTGCCTCTGACTCCCCAGTGCTGGGATTAAAGGTGTGCACCACTACCGCCCAGTTTAGACAGCTGGGTTCTAAAATACGTTAGTTATCATTGAAAGGCCACAAGGTCTTAAAGGCCTGAGCAGACCTACCATAACGAAGCAAGGAGGTATCAATGTCTCTAAGAGGGAAATATATGTTTTACAAGTACACAATACATTTAGATTGCTAGGACTTAGGAATTCCCTAGGTAAACTAAGGATTCCTAAACCATGTGTTGAATTGAAGGTTTTCCCCCACTTCAACCCTGGGGAACAATTTGCATTGAATAAACCTTACTTTAGACATTACCTGAGGGATTCTACCAGCAGTGATATCTTGACTAGTTAGTGAATGGGATCAGAATACCAGCACAAACAGGCAGAGGAAAAAAGGGAAGACCTGGCCAGTGGGTATTCTGAGAGTACAGCCAAAGGTCCCCAGAATATGAGGGAGGAAAAAGAATAGCTAGGTTTATCTCAGCAGAAAAGATGTCTTAGCCCTGTAACAATAGGCAGACTACAAAGAATCCCATAAGCAAGAAGAAATGCTCTTGCAGTGGTGTACTGGGGAGAACCACCAGCTAGCTCAATGTTACAGCATTAGGTTAACATCCTCCAGTGCTATGACACTACAGACTAGAAAAGCTTATCTAAGCCCCAGCTAAAATGGCTTATCTTTTAGTCTACAAATACTCAATGAAAAAACTCTCCTGCGGGTGTTTCCTGTGTGAAGCACACAAATACAGCGTTTGTGCTTATTCCCATAGAACATTGCTTATAAATATAAAGATAGAGTGAATGCTGTGTATTTATGCTATGTATTTATTCCATGTTCTCATCTGGTCAACTGTAGCATTTTTGCTTTGACTTTTCACTTCAAATCTATGATTCAATATTGATGTTATAGTAGAACATGTTTTCACTTAAAATGTAAACTTGGTATTTTCTGATTACCTTGAGATAGTTCAAACTGTGCAAAAGATACATGCACAAAAGCAAACTTCTTGCAGTTTTCTCTGGCCATTTGAAAGTAGTCATGAGCATCATCAGGCTCTTGAATACTGCAACAAAACAGACCCAAATTTAAAAATTGTAAAGGACATAGCTGTCTACAATTGACAATTTCCCTTTTCAAAGACATGGATTATTCTTTTTTACACAAAAATCAAAAGCTAGGTTATATTTGTGCACTGTTTTAGGAAATTTCTAAACTATGTAACTTTGAGGGAGCTATGTCCACAGAAAACAATTTACATTAGAAACAAAAGTATTGGGTTAAAAACTGTAAATTACATTTTTACCTTCTCTCGTAGTAATGTATAGTACATATACAGTAGGTCAAGTGCAGTTCAAAGCTAAAACTTACGCTTTTAATTCAGCAAGCCTGACTTGGATTCGAGCAAAGCTCTCATTCTGGCCATATTTATCTGGAGGAAGTGCTTCAATCGCTTGACTATAGCGACCAATCAGCTTATTTAAATGCGCATCATTTAGTGGGACACTGTTCTTCTCTAGCTTCAGCAAGAAATTCAACCAGTTCTCTGGGGTGTTCTCCACCATCATAATTTGGTTAACAGTTTCTGAGTTACATGAATAAAGAGAAAAAAAAAAAAATCACAACAGAGGAAAAGACAAATTACATTTTCTTTGAAATTATAGTCAAACATTTACAATACTGTCAATATATTATTTTAATCATGTGTTCATGATTTTATTTACTTTCAAAATCATTTTATACTATTTTGGGTATATGGTAATTTGCTTACACATATGTCAAGCCTGCAACTTTTAAAATCAAGCTTTGTAACATTATGATCCAAAGACACACATGAGGAGTAACAATGGGAAAATGTTACAAGTCTTGTTTTTCAACATTAAGAGCAAGACATTTCATGTGTATGGTAAAAACATATGCAATCATCTCAAATCTGAGCCAAGGTATTGCAGGTAGTGTTACTGGCACTGAGTGGTGAGATGCTGGGTACAGTACAAAGTACATGTACTGTGTGCTTGGAACGGAGGCTTCAGTGCAGCTGAGCAATGCAGCACAGGCAAAAAACACCTTGGATTTATTCCACATTTGCCTTTGAGTTAGATTTCAGTCAAGCATTCAGACACAGTTGCCAATTTTTTTCCTGACCCAGCATTCACATAGTTTTAACCTACAGTTTGAAGAGGTGGAACACAGACTATCTGTTTTATCCTGTGAATAGCCATATGTTGGCCATTCAAATGATATCAGCATTTGAAACACAAGAAAGACTTCACTTGTATAAGAAGCTAATAATGCTTCTTATAAAACTAGTGTACTACACTATTTTCACTCAGTTATCATCATCATCCAGTTAGGGCCAACTCCATACCAGGCTTCATTCTAAGCAGTGGATACAGCAAGAGGTTGGAAACTGTACTCATGGAAAGAGCACTCTAGTGGAGAACAGAATACCCAAGTACACAAACAAATTATACAGGAAATGAGTTAGGGCTGTGTAAATAATACAGGAAAGAAGATAGCTGACACACTCCCACCTCAAGTAGGTAACTATCTGAAACAGGCAACACATAGTGACATTTATAAGACCTGAAGAGGTAATTTGGGACTAATAGGGACCTCTGGCTAGAACAGTATTAAGACAGGAAAGGTGGTGGTGAAGCTGTAAGACTAATAGGAAGATCCTTCAAATCTAGTGTTTGGTGTTAAGATTAAATATAATTTTAGGGGAGTGGAGAGATGGCTCAGCAGTTAAGAGGACTTGTTGCTCTTTCAGAATAGCCAGGTTCCACTCCCAGCACCTATATGTTAGCTCACAACCATCCATAACTCCAGTTCCAGAGGATCTATTTCCTCTTCTGACCTCCAAGAACACCAAGCATGAAAGTGGTATACACACATACGTGCACGTAAACATTCACACATAAAATAACAACGAAAAAGTTAAAAATAATTTCAGTAAAAATTGATGAGCCTTTCTGAGTTCATAGAAGGAACAGAAAAATAAAAAAAAAAAAAAGCCCTGCATGTATATGGACAGCAGGCAGGTTCGCCAACATAGCCAGCTGGCAGGAACAAAAGAGTTAAGAAAACTAACTGTGAGCACACTAACGATGCTTTTTTTTGCTGTTTTGACTTTTTGAAGGCAGGGTCTTATTGTGTTTCCTATACTGGCCACAAACTTGAGATCTTTCTGCCTCAGATTCCCAAGTGCTGACATTACAGGTATGAGCTACCCTACCATGCCCATGATGCTCTAGACAGCAGAAAAGTTTGTAATATTTCTAGACAAAAAAGTTAAAGTATGAAATACATTCTAATGGACAACCATCAATTACTGAAGAAGAAAAACCTATGTTAGGGAACACACAGTGGTTAGTTCCTCTTTACCTTGGAAGCATTCAATAAAGTTTATTATTGTTGTTGTTATTATTTTAAAGAAAAGAAAAACTCACCTGTAGGATCAGCACAGACTTTATTCAAGTTGAGCTCATCGGTCAGGTCTTCCTTTATCTTATTTTTAATATCTCTCACTTTGTTCATTATGGAATCAATTGTCAATTTTCTGCCATTTAATTCTTCAGCCTCCATTTCTAAATTGTAACTCATCTTTCTGAACGAAGAAGGTAAAAACATTAGTTTTGTAAATATATCTAAAGTAATTTTATTAGATGTTAGTAGATCACCAAAATCAAACCAAAACCAAACTAAAAGAAAACATACAAAGACATGAATTTGTCATTTACCTGAAAAGTTTCAATGAGCCAAACACATCTATTCCAATAGACTACCAGTGAGATTACACTGCATGTATCTGGAAGACACTGCGTTTTGTTTGTGTGTGAGTCAGAGTATCAGTAGCCTAGGATGGCCTTGATCTCTCTAAGTCCTGGCTTGGTCTTAACTCCCCACCCTCTTGTCTCACCTCCCTACTGTGAGGATTAATAAATACACCACCACGTTCAGCAGATGCCCTTTAAAAGTCCACTTTACTGAATGTGTCCCTTGCACTTCTTTCCAGAGTTATTTTCTCTAGGCCGTCTATAGATTTCATCATTACAAACGAGAGAAAAGGTAGTAACAGAGGAGACATCAGGAACCCGCTAGGTAATGAGAAGGTAAGTTGCCCCTTTGGTTACCTACTCTGCCTGAGTAAACACCGACATTCAGAGTACTACCCAAGACAAGACATCCCTCTACTGATAACCGACTTTCAGCAGTTTTGTCCCCGACAAAACCGTGATTTGTGCCTTTGTCATCCTAACCCGAGGATTAAAGAACTGTCGCAGTCCTGCGCATATGCCCAACTCATTTGCAGGATAGTGTTTGTAACTGGTCAGCAGTCTGCAGTCTTCCTTCCAGTCACTCTCGTCAGCGATTCTCCACAACGCAGTAACCCAAGGTCACGCCAGAAAGGCGGGGAGGGAGGCAGCTAGGGTCCCCCACGTCCTCGCAGCTCCCAGGCGGCAGGGGCGGGTTCTGCGGGGTGCAGGCCGTCCCGCCGGCGCTCCCCACCCACTTCCGGGCCCCGCTCCCCAGCACCAGCCTCGGGTCCCGCAGGCCGCGCCGCCGCCCCCGCCCTCCTGGCCCGGGGCCCCAGCGCCCGCCAACCGCCGCCATCACCTTCCGCTGGCTGCAGCCGCTCCGCAAGGCCCCGCAAAGCTGCACTCCCGGCAGGAGGCCGCGGGGAAGGCGTAAACAGCGGATCCGCAGCCCCGCTCCCGAACCGCGTTTGAATTTCCCCGCTGACTTCACCGCCGCCTCCCATTGGTTACGTCCCGTCACGTGGCAGCGTCGGCCGTGATTGGTTCCCTGCTCCGCGCCACCTCCGCGGAGGCCGAGTGCGGACACCTGCAAACAGCGCCGGGTTCGCCCAGGTCGCCTAGGACTGGCGGTTCCGTCCACTCACCTCCGGCCCTGGCGGGCCATGTGGCCAGGAGTCCGGGTCTCTTACCTTCGCGCCCCGCAGGCCGTTCCAACACCCCCCAGGCAGCCCCGGCCCTGTCTTCAACCCTGGCCCGCCCGCCTGCCTCCTTCCCTTTGTTAGGGTTCCGGCGCACCCCTCCCCATGGCCGCCCGGCTGAGCTCATCTCTCCACACCCCCTCCCTCCCTGGGATGCTGTCCCAGTTACGGACTCAGCTGCTCTCCGAAGAAAAGCCCCTCGGGGCTTCCTCTCTGATACCCAGCGCTCCTGACTGGCTGTGATTTCACTTAAGATGCAGGGGGGTGAGGTGGGGGGATAGAAGAAGGAAAAAGGCGGCTGTTGTGAACTTGACGCTTGGTTTTGCTGGGTATAAGAAGCTACAGCTGTAACCAGAACTCTCATCTTCAGCCAGCATGAAATGCCTTCTCTGTCTGGCCCTGCTGATAGCCAAATCCGTGGATGCTCAAGTCCTTTAAGTAGCACTGTCTTTACACAACCTGTGCTCTTCCTCTGTATACATTTATTTTCTTTAAGGCAGAGGATGTTTGTTTTTGAGACCTGGTCTTAATGTGTATCCCTGGCTGCCATAGAATTCCCTGTGTATGCAAACCAGGCTGTCCTTGAATTTAGAGATCCACTTGCCTAGGCCACCAGAGTGCTGAGATTAAAGGCATGTACCACACCGCTCTAGGCTTCCGGGCTTCCTGAATACTTTAAGTGGAGCCTCTCTTCATCATTTATAACACATGATATGATATGAATTGATGTTCTACAGTATTATTTAGGGAATATCAAGAAAAAAATTGTTCAATATAGATGCAAGTAAAAATTTTATTTAATCTAAAGTTGGTTAAATCCGTGGGTGTGAAACACACATAGAGGGTTTAGACCAAAATTAACCCTTAAACTAAAGCCTTCTTTGGTCAAGCATAAAAGCTGAAAAGCAAACCTTAAGAAGATCAGATGATCGTCATGTAATGTAACTATAGACCCGAACACAGTTCAGCAATAGTTATAGAAAAAAAAAAAAAAAAAAAAAAAAAAAAAAAAAAAAAAAAAAACAACCCTCAACAGGATTTCTGTGTCCTCTTATGATTCCTATGGTATCACAGCATCCCCAACCAGCAGAAAACAGTTTGGGAAGATTGATACCTAAATTCCCAAATATTGTCTATAAATGTTTGTTTTCATTTAAATGGGGTTGTTTATAAATGGTGAATGATCACAACCAATCTCTTTTTAAAGGTAGAAGGGGATTATGGTATAGAAATGAATACTTTGTATTGAAATGGATTTTTATTTATTGGACAAATTTAAGGTCAATTCTGTGATACATATGTTTCTCTTGTTCAGGTATTATGTTTGTATAGCTCATTTTAAAATGTAATGTATAATTAAATAGAAATTATAGATAGTTACCTATAATAGTCAAAACTTATAGTTAGGTTTGTTAGGTTTTGATAGATATATAGAGACATATTTCAAATGGATAGGCATTCTTCAAACCTTTCAAAGACCTACAGAATATGACATTTAAAATGGTTTAGGGTTTTTCTTAACAGTGAGGCACAACTGCTCTGGGCAACATCAACTACGTCAGAAAGGAAGATGGACATCAAAGAAACACGTTATGGAGTTTGCTTCCTGTATGACAAGACTAGCCATTTGGGTAAGATATTGCTCTTGTCTGGACTGTTTGACTTTATGCTGAATAAAAATGAACATGCTGGACCCACAGGAAGTGACTGCTGAAAGAAGATGGACATTGCTGCAGGGTTCCTGCTTCATGGAAGAATCTGCAGGACACAGAGAAAAGTGACTGACAAATTGCCAATACAGGTGGACAGTTTAAAGCTTCCTGTTATGCTGAGGAGTCTGTCAGACACATATGGCCTATAGGCTGAAGATGGAACATTACAGAAGAACTTTGGGTGATTGACCAAGCAACAAGATGTTTATGTCAATTCTAGAGTTTATATACTATCCTTCTGTGGTCTTTGATGGAGCTGAAGACAGATAGTTATGGTTATAGCTTTCCTTAGTTAGGTTTAAAGTTAAATTACATATAAGAATTTAGACTCACAAAAATAGGATAGATGATAGAATATTTTCTTTAATTCCTAATAATGTTAATGGACTAAATATTGTTAACTAGAGTTCTTATTTGATAACTGTTTTGTTATATGTTTTACTATGTTAAAGCCCTTCTTTTTATTTAGAAAGAAAAGAGGAGATGATGGGAGATGTCATTCTGTAAATATGTTTCTCTTATTGGTTAATGAAGAAAGCACTGTTGGTCAATAGAGAAGCAAGATAGGTGGGACTAGGAGACAAGGAGGATTCTGGGAGATGTAGGAGAACGGCGTTGAAATGTAGGATGCAAGAGGATTAAGAGGTCCAGACCCTCTCTCCAATAAGGTAAGACCACGTGGAAACACTTAGGTTGATAGAAACTAGTAAATATTTAAGACAAAGCTAGCCAATAAGAAGCTCTAGCCATTGGCCAACAGCTTTATAACTAATAGAGTGTGTGTTATCTAAGGACTGATGGGGCTCTGGGATCAGGCTGGCGGGGACGTGCTCCTAACAGGCAATCAATTCAAAAATAATTCAAAGTGGAAGAGAAAAAAATACATTATCAAAATGGTAGGTTAAAATCCAGCTATATCAATAATTTCATTAAATGTACAGGATCAAGAAAAAAAATCTCAGGAGAAAAGAAAGTCTCAATTCACTACCTAAAAGGAAACCAATATATTTGGAAACTTTGTTGTTAGTTTGTTTTTAACTCATTTTGTTTTGAGACAGCTTTCTCTGTGTTGGTCTCAAACTCCTGGGCTGAGAACTTCCACCTGCTCCAGCTTCCATAGTAGCTGGAATAGCCATGCCCAGCTACCTAATTTGAATATGAAGACACAAGTCAGATTAAAAATGAAACAATGAAGAAAGGTACCATGCTAAACTGGTGAAATACTAAAACCAGGAAGTCTACCTGGGCAGAAGCCTCTACCAACAGCTTTAGTAGTTTGTCTTATGTGAGTCAATGGCCTGTGATCTCTGACGGAGGACATGTTTTGAAAGTGTCCTCACACATGGATCCAGAGATGAGTGTGTCCACCAGAAGCCAAGATCAAATGCTTTGAAGTCTAGATGCACATTCTGTATCACAAATCTTAATACAGTTATAAAAACAGACATCATTCTCTGATGTCTGTTTTAAAAAATTACTTATAGTTTAAAAAAAAAAAAAAAACACACACACACACACACACACACACACACATTCCGTACCCAATTTACAGGCTTGGACAGATGCAAACAACTAATAGCTGAAATGGCCTTGCCAAAACTTCATCGTGGAGAAATGGGATGTAATTGGAATATTAAATCTGCTCTGTATAGAAACATGATAATTGCACGGCATCACCTTTGTATTCTTCGTCTTAACCAGGCAGTTTGTCTGGAGAAAACTGAAAGTAAAACAGAAAGAGAAAGGAAAGTGACAGTGACGTATCTGTTGAGCAGTAAGATGACACCCCTCTCTGTTTTACTTAAAGTGCTGAACATTTCAGGTGAACCAGACACGGTCTTGCATCTTCATGATAGAGTATGGACTCATCAGGTTTGTTGCCAGAACAGAATCCTACAGACTGTGTGGCTTAAACAACAGATACATTTTTCTCAGTCTGCAGTCTGGAAACCCAAGGCGAGATACTAACGGGGATCATTCCCTATAAAGCCTCTTCTCTTAATATAGATAAGGTATCACCCTGTCTACACAAGGTGTGTTTGTTGTTGTTTGTTTCCTGTGTGGGGACAGAGACAAATTGTCTGTGGTAGCTCTTCCTGTAAGGATGCTAATCCTATTGGATTAGAACCCCACCCTTATGACTTCATACCCCCTTAATTACCTCTTACAGGCCTTACTTCTAAGTATAATCACATTGTAGATTGTGTTTTGGGAAGATATATCGTGGTTAAATAAAGATCAGGATAGACATAATTCAGTTCAGAAGGAATTATATCTAGGGAGAGTGGAAGAATTAGCCTAGTGTTTACAAGCTGACTATCCCTCAGTAATGTTTATGACTTTGAAATTTTGTTTGCAAAGTGAGGGATCAAATCCCAGGGCTGTCCCTAAGGAAGGGTTGTTAGTCACTTTTCCCATTGCTGTGACACAATCTCCAATGAAGACAATTTAAGGAAGGGTTTATTTTGGCTTACATTGCAGGTAAGTCTTTGCAGGAAGAATATGAGGCCGCTGGTCTGATCACACCCACTGTCAGAAAACAGAGGGATGAGTGCTGATGCAGCCCTCTTTCTCCTCTTCAGTCAGTCCAAGAGCCCAGCCCATAGGATGGGGCCACCTACACCTGGGTTTTTGCACCTTGATCAACCCAATCTAGAATCTCCCTTGCAGGCATTCTTGAAGGTTGTCTCCCAGGTGATTCTAGATCTTGACAAGTTGATAATTATTAATAACCATCAGAGTAAGATTTAGCATTTAATGGATATGTGTTGTAAAGACATACTGGAGGACATGAGTGTACCAAAAAGCTGTGGAATAATTAATTAAGCAAAACCAAACAATGCGAAATGCCCTCTCCTCCATTTTCATGACATTTTCAAGTTCCCTTCTCCCTTTATTTTATGGTTGTAAAGATCAAACCCAAAGCATCACTGTGATCTCCAAACCACGCTGTCTCTTATTTTTGCTCCTAAGCTTACGTTGCTATTTTAATTATATTTCTAGGCTCAATGCACCCCATTTATTTTAATG